AAAATTAGGAAAGGACCTCAAAGAGCTGGGAGGGGTAAGTTTATAACAGAGACCTGTATTAATCTAGAAGGAAATTTGGACATATGGAATGTTTCTTTCATTTTATATTATTTTTACTTTATAAATAACATTTGATGTTATATGTACTTTATCTGTGAGAGGATTTTATTTTTCTATGTTTGTCTTAATATTTAATACAAACAATGAGCTTATCATTAAGTTATTCTGTGTTTTTTTTGAGAGAACCTGCTTTGCTGATTGTAACAAAAGTTTTTATTATTAAGGTTTGTATTCAGTTGATTATTCACCTGGCTTAAAATTTATCCAAGTTTATTAAGTTTTATCGTTTGAGGTGATTTTTTTCTGCTGCTTCTGACTGCATTGACATTTTTACATGTTACAATGTTGTTCAGCTGAACCTGAAAGAGATTAAAGGAAGAGTTTTGTATATGCTTACTGAAAGTCAGTAACTTCACTGAGTACTTTTTGCACAGGGTATGTTAATGAGTATTTTTGAATACTCTTATTTAATAATAAATTTTATATGCATCTTACTAATCTTTTTCCCAATTCTCTCTTCTGTATCGAAGAAACTTCAATACAAGCAAGTACAAGATATGATAGTAACACAAGTAGTGCAGTTGCTTAGTTCTCTTTTAAAGTTGAATATTTGAATTGATGTAGAGAAAACTTGGCCGTTAGAGAATTAAATACCTTTTAAGCACCGAGGCAGAAGGGATCTGCTTAAATGGCTACCTGTTTTGAATGTTGCTTTGGCAATACTTCTTTGAACTCAGAGGAACACTGAGCAGCTTTATGAAATTGATGCTTGTAAATCAAGGTGCTGTCTGAAATCACAGGAGCGGTAGGGAGTAGCACTAACATGGTTTCAAATTAAATGCATCGTTTTACATTTACGTCAAATAAGTGCACTCTGTATTTTGTCTTTCTCTCCGAAAGAGAATTTTAGGAGTTCATATGTGAAAGGTAAGGTTACAAATCACAGACTGGAAAGGAAGTTTTTGTGGCTTATCCTGAGGAGTAAATGCCTCCATCTGAGGTGCTCTAACACCCTCAAGATCAATTACCACGTTTTGTTGTTACTTGTGTGGAGTGCACTCAAAAGTGCCTCTATATCCTTCTGTAAAAGGTGCATAGAGCACCGTTGAAAGGCACAGTTTCGAGCTTGCTGTCTGGGTGATTTGTGCTTTCCAAGCTGATTAGTTGAAGAGATGAAATGCATTAAGCTACATAAGCTAATAAGAAATAACAAGGCGAATAGGTGATAGTCACTTGATAGTTAGCAATGAAAGACTGAAGGAGCAAAATAGAAGAGAACAAGCATAGAGTACCTGCATATTTATATTACTGAGTATGAGAATATGAATCTACTAAAGACTTTACCTTTTGGAGAAGTGTCATGAATATTATAGGTGTGAAACATGGTAACTCTCCTAAACCTTTAATTTTTCTGCTGGTTCTGAACTCAGTAAATTTATAGCTTCTTGCAGACTAAAGTACATTTGCATGCACATGTCTTTAAGTTTAGCTGAACACTTAGTATAATTTCTGTTTCATAAAATTATGTAGACAGTGGTTTACCGTGATTTATTCTGTTATTCCTCAATGCAGTATTGAATTTTTCTATTTGGAAAGTATTACAGCTAGATAGTTCAAAGAATATAATAATCAAAACATTGCAAGGTTCTTTTGATAAAGATTACAAAATTAAGAAATTGAACTTATAATTTGTGAGTGGTAAGATGCTAGTGCAACTCAGTTTTTATATTTAGAAAATATCTTCTTGTTAATTCAGTGTTTTTGTACTTAGTTATTTTAGAAGTTTTATCACTTTTAAGTATGCAATGTAAAATTTGAGTTACTGATCCACTGTCCTGAAATGATGACTTGTTTTATATCTCTATATTTAGAGGGTGGAGAGTTTCCTTAGTAAGGATATCAACTATCTGGTGACAAATAAAAAGGAGGCAAAATTTGCACGAAGTCTTGGCCAGATTTCTCCTGTTCCTAGCCCAGAATCTGCAGGTGCTGGGGGAAATGGTTCACCTCATCCTAGCAGCCGAAAAGATCAGCGTGATGGAAGTTCATTTAAGTTGGTAGATACAGTAAGTTTCTTAGTAATAATATTGTGAATCGAGTACAACCCATGGGAGGGATATGGTCTTAGAATTTTCCTTCTAGTTAGTTTCCTAAAGATGGCAGCAGTTCTTTGGGTGAATAAGGGGTTTTCTTTCAAATATACTTTTCAATTTATTCAGGCTAACTTGTTAAATTTAACTCAAACTAATTCAGCAGAGTTTCAGAAACTAATTTTAAAAAGGAGCCTTTTTTGCAAATAAGCAGAGTACACTAAAATCTGTTTTAAGGTAGTATGTCTGACTGATAATACTGACATTATTATGTTTGACAGCTGGATCAATATGGATAGGCACGTGATGGCATTCTGTGATTCCTCTCTTTAGAAACACAGCCTAATAAAGCCTTGACTGATGTGTTGTTAATGCGGATATCAACAGAAGCACTCTTGGATAGTAGTTGAAAAAATAATTAAAATTGAACATTATGACTGCTGAGCTTTTTTGAGCTCTTTCTTAGAAGTTCATGTTAATTGCATGTACATTGTTAAGTTAGTATCTGAATTTATGCAGATTCATGTGAAGTTTCTTACATGGACAAATCTTGTGTCCTTTCAAAATACAGTTGGAAGTAATTAGCTGTATTATGTATGTGGTACTTACTAAGAAACGTGACTGCGAGCCAGTCTGCGGGCTAGTCTTTGCACTGCATAGGTGAGGTAACATTATTTTGTAAATACCTGGATAGGCAAAGGCAGCTCATTATGCATAAGCAGCATAAAGTACAA